ATGCAGTTGCAATTCATGTTCAGTATTTTGAACTTCGTCGGTAGAAATAATAGTGGCAGTCGAAGTTTACCGTGAGAAATGGCCAAGGAGGGGAAAATGCTGTGAAATGTCTTGTGAGAGTCTGGCTATTGGCATGTTGATATTTAGTGAGCGGTTGGTAGTGGAATTATAGAATATGACATAGGTATAGTAATAAACGTCCGTTTCCTAAGTAAAGAACATAATTCAAGTATTAAGGGGATATAGTAATACACTTCCATTTCGAATATTGGCAAGATTCGTAAATTAAAATTTAACATTTCATTTCAATAAAATGTGTGAGCTAAACTGTGGTTGTATTGATTTCTGTGTGACACGTTATAAGATGAACCCTTCAATACATAGGGGGCGAACTGATGACCCGAAATGCTGTTCTGAACGGGTTTGAAAACGCTCTGTCCACAGGAATCTTTTACGTTTTTTTATATCAATATAGCATCAGGAATTTAAGGTGATTTGCTAATTATATGTAACATATTTAAAAAGTAATGATATATCAGAAAGCATGGCCATCAGTTAAAAACTTGCTTTATTGTATTGAAGTATGTTGTACACTATCGTAGTGTTAAGTTTGTCACACGTGACATTTGTGAAATGGTACTATATGTGGTATTCTTCAGCAAGACAGCAAGGGATGACTTTCTAGTTTGGATGAGAATAAAGTACGCAAAAATACACAAATTTTATGTCGGTTTAAAGCCAAGTATTTTTCTGTAATATTCAACAATTTCACCTAAATCACCAATGAACACATTATCAAATCCATTTATAAATTCTACAAGTCCGGTGTCGAATTCTTAATTTCTTATTTTACCGGCCTTCAGTCTCATTCTCCAAATGTACTGAAATAAAAAATAAAACGACTTACGTTCATTGTGTGTCTTTCTTTCAATGTTCAGAAGGGAAAAAAGGATTATCGTCTCTTGAAATTTGAGCATTTGCTGTCTTGTTGAGTAAGAGATGCCATTTTACGAATCAAGATCGATTATTTTTTGTGTCAAAAGTGAAGTATGTAGAATTAAGAAATTTCATTTCCATTTGAGAAAAATCCCTTCTTGAAAAGCTGATTTCGTTCATGTAAATACCATTCATATGATGGAAAAGAAACTACTTTCGTGTTTTACTTATCTCTGAACGTAGTTCTTACATTATAATATGTACACGTTTTATCCTGAAATATGTTTTTGCCATTTATCTGTTGAACAAATACATTTATGGGAATGAAAATTGCTTTATTTTCCAAATTTAACTGTTTTCGGCAATTCTGTCTTAACAGCATCATCGACCAGATGATGCAGGAATTATTGATATTTATTCGAATTTAGGACAATTTATGTTCCGAAGGGTTTTTTTCGAATTGAAAATGGATGTAGGAAATATAAGAAAAATGACGATCTGTCCCTTGGATTTTAAGCCAGATTTCATGTAAATGTAATTTGTTTTCTAATTGAAATTGGATGTAGGAAATATGAGAAATACCTTGATCTGTCCATTGGATTTTAACCCGAATTTCATAAAGGAAGTAGTAGTTTTTGCTAGGATTTTTTTTAAATTTCATATTCATTTTACTTTCTAATGTTCATTAGTCGTTCCAGTTTGTCAATAGCTGTATAAAAAACGTTGTATATGTTTTTTTGTAGGACCTTTGAGACTTTTTTTTTGCCAAACATAACGAAATTGCGTGTCCGTTTTTCTTTTTCNTGTAATTTGTTTTCTAATTGAAATTGGATGTAGGAAATATGAGAAATACCTTGATCTGTCCATTGGATTTTAACCCGAATTTCATAAAGGAAGTAGTAGTTTTTGCTAGGATTTTTTTTAAATTTCATATTCATTTTACTTTCTAATGTTCATTAGTCGTTCCAGTTTGTCAATAGCTGTATAAAAAACGTTGTATATGTTTTTTTGTAGGACCTTTGAGACTTTTTTTTTGCCAAACATAACGAAATTGCGTGTCCGTTTTTCTTTTTCTTTTTTTTTTTTTTTGCTCCCAACGATAAGTGTCTGAGTGTAAAAAGCGTGCAATTCTAAACATAACATTTAATAAATATCTCATAATTTTCATTGTTATATGGAGAAAAACAATGGCGGATCCAGGACATTTTAAAGGGGTCAGATGTTGACATTTGATGTTGACATTTGGGGCGAGATGGAGTATTTTGAGGACCTGATCATATGAGTCCAGAATGGGTCTCTCTCCTCGGGGAGGGCGGAGACTAGATCCACCATTGTTTTTTTTTTAATGAAGAAGTTGAAATATTTTGTTTGTTTCATTACGATCAAACAAAAGACAATTAATGTGGCAGACAGTTTATTTTTCAAGTCAAATAGATAAGAACGTTATATATTTTACACCTGTAAGTGAATTTAAATGCAGACATCATAATATTCTCACAGATACTTGTAGTAATAAAAAGACAAGACAAAGATGTTTTATAGATATATGTTCTATATATAATTGAATACAGCAAAATAAATTTGAATTGCTCTTAATAAAAAAAACTTAGTGAATATAAATGTCTTAGCGTTTTTCCTGATGGCTACATGGCTCAGTGGTAGCCTGGGGTTGGGGTTCGATTCCTGGCTCGGGGACTTTGGAATTACAAAAGGGTGCTATTAGAATTTTCCTTTGGTTACTATAAGAAGAAAGTCTACCCGGGGAGGGTGGGTGGGAACACTTAGAGAAGTAGGTAACGCGCTTGTCTCTGAGACAGAAGGTCCCCAGTTCGATTCCTGGCGCTACTAGGTCCAAGCAAATTACCTTTTGCAAAAATAAACCTAAATAAACAATTTAACTACTATAAGAGGATCGTGCGAATGAGAAAGAGCAAGCTGACAGGTATAAAGCAGAAGAAGACTGCCAAGAAGCTGAAAACCAAAGGTTCGAGTCAAGCTAAAGAAAAGAATGTCAGAAATGAACAACCGGCATTTTTGCACATTTTTAAACTACATCTATTACAACTTTCATGTACGTTTATTAAAAGAAATACAATCAATTGCGCCATAAGTACATGAAAAGTAATTATTATCATAACGACTTAGCATTTCGAGATGTAAATCAATCTTAAATACAACTATCTACAATTAAATGTATGGGAGATTTTATGCACTTTGAAAAGTGTCGCTCAAGTTCAATCGTTTTGATTTTAAAAAAGAACATGAAATTTCGGTTTTTTTTGCCCAGAGTTAAAAGAGAAAGTTGAAGATTTGTCGCGATGTACTTTACAGCCATCATTCAAAGTTGACATTGAAGTATTTGTCTTATGAGTGTACCAAAATGAAACAGTATCGAAATTCAAAGTGCATACCATCTCATGTAAGCGTTCTCCTCGCACGCGGGAACGCATTCATGACCCCACTCTATGTCGCCATGCTGATGATCACACACAACACCCAACAGCAGTCAAACATTACTCAGTTCGGTAAATTTGCTTTTTTCATAGATAAATAAATATGAACCTCATATTTTGCGTCATTTTCTTCTCTTTAAATCTTAAAATAGGATTTTGGTGGTACAATTTTGAGTGAACACTTAAATTTATGCGTCGTGCGAATCAAGAACAGCATGAAGACATGGTCATTTTACAAACTTATGCCAGTCATAGTCATTTTTAAGAACAATATGAAACAAAATTAGAAACGGTTATGCAAAAACAAATTTACTTAAAGTAACTAAGCACATTTACTCAGAAAATGCTCATAAACTCATCTGTTTTCAGTGATGAAGAAACACTCAGCAAAAATAACCCAACAGCATGTGCAGGACTGGCACCTAATCAGGCCTTTTGTTCTCAATCACCCCTTGATCCCGACCGAAATATAGAATTAAGAAAGTACCAAGTACAAGATCAACATTAAATAAAACACTGAACTTTCANAGTCAGTAAATTGGCAATTAACAGAAAATTTTAGTGTTTTAGAGGATTTACAAAAGTTGACTGTCTACAAAAGTTCGTTTAATTACTAGGAAATACCCATTACCCCCAAAACAGATCTTTGCGACAACTAGTTTTCGATACAGATTTGATACGGATTTTTCAAATTTTCGAGTTGTAAAAGGATGCGATAAATGCCAGTTCTACATACATACATTTTAATTGACAAAAGATGCCAGAAGGAAACGTTTTCTCGCTTTCAAAAATGCACTGTTTCCCCTTGTGAACATTTAACATTTTTGCTTTAAAATAAAGGCAAAAAGTCAAATTTCCTTCTTTAATTACAAAACGTTATTTTCGAAAAAAAAAACTACCCAAACCCTGGTTTGATTTTCTGAAAACAAAAATATATTTCTACCCCCTCCTAGCAATAAAACTATGGGTCTATCACTGATCAGACATAGTACTAGTATATCAAAACACCGGGACCCAAAGGAAGTTTATTCTTACCATGCGCCATAACCGCATATTCACAATTTTAGAAAGAACCGTTTTAATACGTGTGGGCAATTCTGTTACAACTTGAGCACATTTTACAATTTCATTTTGCCGTTAATTCTTAAGTGTCATATTTGGATTTCAGCGTTTACAGTTTATTGTAAATTTACATCTCGTTCATTTCTTCCATTGAACCCACAATAAAATTCCTGTAAGCATTTTACGTAATGGAGTCGCCACTTATTTTTTTCTAAAGTTTGCTTCATTAAAATCAATATTTGTATCATGTTTAATGAATAAACATGCATTTTCGCTTGCATAACAAAGCGTCTTATTACATATTTGCCCACACATATAATTTTACAATAAAACATTAAATCGGTCGTACTAGCACAGTGCTCTACCTGCACATCACTTAATGATAATTTTGCAATTAATTTTATTTTCATAGACCCTTAAGCAAGGCATTTTTTTATTTTAGAATAGCTTTAAAAGTGTCGTTTCAGATTCGAAAACTGGTGGGTATAAACAAAAAATATAAATTACAAAAACGTGCAGGGTTGACGCTTGGATTTTAGTCCATTTTATTAGAAGTTCCATGCATAAAACATTTGTTACACGCTGTACTTCATTCGATGCACGTTTTGATGCAGAATATTACAACCTAAAGCAAACATTACATTTCAAACCAAATCAAATGTCAACCCTGCAAGTTGACTATACGACAAACTTCGACACGCAAAACAACGTTGACATGGGTGCGGGCGCTGGCGAACACGAATCTGATGTCTTTTCTGGGAGCGCGTCCAATCTCATCGTAGACGGTTGTTACGAGGCACTGAAATTAAATGTAAAATGAAATGGATTAAACAAAATTCATAACAATATCTTAGGATTTGACAAAGTGAAATACATAATATTAATAATAATCTTTATTGGTTTTTGGCTTTCTTGGTTATACATTATTTTGCGTATTTTGTGGGTAGAGTGATATAAATTCAGGATTTTATTGCTACATTTGCTTATTATAACCTCTTCAGAATGATTCTACCAATTACTTTATTCCATTGCATCCACACTTAAATAATTTCGTAATCCGAATGCTGGCACTTAAGCTCAACTTTTTAAAATCAAATGCTTTATGCCAGCATTTTATTTCAGACTGCAATATGAAGGACGGTATGTAATTGAAATCATGAAAAGTCAAGGGAGGTCGACAGTGCCTAGCTAGCAAATATACTTTTGCTTTCCTGGTCTCGGCTAGTTCTCTGGAAAAACCACTAGTTTGTCGTCAGTTAACTTTAATAAACAGGATACATATGTACAAACCCCTGTCGTAAGATAAAAAAGGCACGCATTGGGAGCTGAGAATGTAACGGTAGTTACCTGCTTTGTCGTCTTGCTTTGTTTAAGACGGAAAACGCGTTTAGACCTTGGGTTCTTGCTTCTTTATGAGCAAATACTTTCCTTCTGGAAAAAGCAACATAAAAAGTTATTTTCAAGCTCATTCCGGCACTCATGTCAATAAAATGTACCCAAGAGCCATTACGCCTGAAGTGGGAAATGCATACTTTTAAATAAAATATTGTCATTATAAAACGATCAGCGTTGCCTAATATCATCTATACAGTACTTACAACAAATTACATCGGTTCTCAGTGCCAAATTTCAGTCTACGTGTAGAAATCGTGGCAACGTGGCATATGAGACTTCTTCCTCTTCCTTCTGACCTTGGTCCTATCTGAATACCTCTCACCAAAATGCTCACCTGGTTTACATAATAATAGCACTGACTGTGGGATTGTGTTAGAGAAGACACGATGCGGCTTAACGCAATCTAAACGTTATCATCAGGTTATTGCACAAACAAACCATTTTGTTTTGTCCATCTATAGACCTTCATCCCAAATAAATGAGGTTTTTATTATTAAAGCATCCCAATTAAAACATGCTGTCGCCTATTGCTCTAGCACTGTAAATATTTAACACTAGAGTTGTGGCGACTAAGGTATGTACATATATATTTAACATTTTAATTTTTATGGAGCAGTACATATGAACCCAAATATGCTTCTTAGAAAAAATAAATCACATAAGAATCAATTTACTGAGTTACGCATCATTCGTGAAGGTATTGTTTTCTGATTTCATTGTTTGTTCTCTGTTGTCGCGACTCTGTGGTTGCGTGCGACGTTGTATATGTGCGCACGCTTGTTTTTACGTCGCTTATTCTTCTTTGTTACGTTAAAATGATACATACGTTACCGACACATACTTTACCATGAAGCGTGTAAATATTTATTCTATTTTCATTGGTTTTCTTTCGATTTGTGGGCCAACACTTTTGTCTTTTATTTGTGTTTCATTAAAATAGTGTTGGCGCACAAAAGGAGAGACAACCAATGAAAATAGAATAAAAAATATTTACACGCTTTATGGTAACGTATGTATCATTTTAACGTAACAAAGAAGAATGAGCGACGTAATAACATGCGTGCGCACATATACAACGTCGCACGCAACCACAGACTCGCGACAACAGAGAACAAACAATGAAATCAGAAAACAATACCTTCACGTTATTTGGTACCGTATGTATCGGTGACGTATGTATCATTTAAAGAATTTCAACAAACGGTTTCAAGACAAGTAATCTTTACTTGCCCTGCTTTTCCTTCTTATTGTAATGTTGTATACCGTAAGAATAAGGCGTTTGCTTACAAAACGGACAACAAACAATTAAAAAATAAAAGTATTTACAAGCCACATAGTAACTATTTTCATTGGTTGTATTTCGTTTTGTGCACCAACACTTATGTCTTATTGTTACATTAAAATGAAAGACAACGAGACAAATAATATTTCTTGCCTTCAACTATCTGTGAAAATTGTTCATATGATACATACGTTACCGATATATAGGCCTACATGGCCAAATAATATGAAGGTGTTGTTTTCTGATTCCATTGATTGTTTTCTCTTGTCACGGCTTTGTTAGTGCGTGCGACTTTGTACATGTGTATGTGCGCACGTTTGTACGTCGTTCATTTGTACGTCGTTTGTTACCTTAATATGATACATACGTTACCGATACATACGTTTCCATGAAGCGTGGAAATAGTTATTTATTCTATTTTCATTGGTTGTCTTTCGTTTTGTGAGCCAGCTCTTATGTCTTAATGCCACATTAAAATGAAAGAAAACGAGACAAATAAGATTCCCTGCATTCCACTATCTGTGGAAAATTGTCCATTTGATTCATACGTTACAGATATGTNGTCCATTTGATTCATACGTTACAGATATGTACGTGACCAAATGATATGAAGGTGTTGTTTTCTGATTCCATTGACTGTTTTCTGTTGTCACGACTTTGTGAGTGGGTGTGACTTTGTATATGTGCGCTTTTCGTTTTACGGCCCTCATTCTGATTTTTTACGTTAATATGATACATATAACGTGAAGGTATTGTTTTCTGATTTCATTGTTTGTTCTCTGTTGTCGTGACTCTGTGGTTGCGTGCGACGTTGTATATTCTTCTTTGTTACGTAAAAATGATACATACGTTACCGATACATACGTTACCATGAAGCGTGTAAATATTTATTTTTTCATTGGTTTTCTTTCGCTTTGTGGGCCAACACTAATCTCTTTTATTTGTGTTTCAATTAAATAGTGTTGGCGCAGAAAAGGAAAGACAACCAATGAAAAAAGAATAAAAAATATTTACACGCTTTATGGTAACGTATGTATCATTTTAGCGTAACAAAGAAGAATAAGCGACGTAAAAACAAGCGTGCGCACATATACAACGTCGCACGCAACCACACAGTCAAGACAACAGAGAACAAACAATGAAATCAGAAAACAATACCTTCACGTTATTTGTGGGCCAACACTTGTTTTTTATTTGTGTTTCATTAAAATAGTGTTGGCTCACAAAAGGAGAGACAACCAATGAAAATAGAATAAATAATATTTACACGCTTTATGGTAACGTATGCATCATTTTAACGTATTTGTATTTCATAAAATGTACATATACTGTGTCTTCCGAGAGCTGAACAGCTTGTGACATTTTAGGGAGAGGCAGAAGAAACAGAGAGGTAACATGATATCTGTAAGATTCTGCAGGGAGAAATGGCCTAGTTTTTTTACCTCTCAAAAAGTTTGCAATATACTTTGTCTTTCAGTGGTCCCCGATTCTTTAATATTACCAATGTTATCACTTTGAACCGCATAAAACACTTTTGGAAGTAAAAGAATCATATTAGAAACTATCACTACACTTTCTTTTTATCATTTTATTTTTATTCATCTTAGTATTGCCACTGACACATCTACTAGTGCCTCAATTTAGGACTCATTCCCAATGACACTATTGGTCTATGTAAATCGATCCAGCTCCACAGGGACTCTTGCTGAATGCAATTGGATTGGCTCGCCTCCTTTTGTTTATAACATGCTTGTTTTCCATTTTCTACTCAAAGCTAGGGGGTGGTATGCTAATCTCTTAAACTGATTACATTCAGCAAGAGTCCCCCTGAATTGATCTACCTAGACAGATAAAGCACTGAATGCACTCTTATTTTTATTGGGACTGAGTTCTTAGACCTAAATATTCTTACACAGTCATATAAATAAAACAACAACAATAAATAATATTTTTTAATATTTATTTATAATTAAACGTTGGTTGGTACATTTATAATGTTGAAATGATAATTCTCAGAAAAACAAAGGTCAAATACATTTTCAAGAAGTGCATTAAAATTGAAAGTTATGAATAAAGTTGATGAAATCATATAATTACCTAATATAATATAAGTATGATAAATAGTGACAAAAACTGCATTGTAGACTTTCAATTTAATTTTCAAAGACATAAAAACTGTACTCATAATTATTTGCACAGTACTTTTTACTTACATTTTTGCATTAAAAATTCCCCATGTAAATTTATGTACTTTGTAATATTTCATAAGGAAACAAAAGTCTGAAATTCACTGCAAAGAGACTGTACTGTAGTTTGCCACTTTTAAAATGTTCTCTCTCTCATCACTGTATATCATGTCCACAGTGTGTTCAGTGATTTCCATATGAGACTACAGACACATATACAACTATGATCCCCACTGCACTGATGAATAAAAAAGTCACATCATATTATCTGGTTGGGGTTATGTGTGTAAATGAAATATCTTAAATTTGACAGTAAGTGTAAAAGTACATGTAACTCTCAAGTGGTGAAAAACTGGAAAATTTTTATTTATCAAGTATTCTTCATCAGTTTTGTATACATACCTGTTGTAAGCATAAGTTTTACCCCCTACCCAGGTTCTGTATGATGTTATTTGTCAATGAGCACATTTAGAACAGCAGACAAACAGATCTGCGGATCAAATATGGTGACCCACTAAATGCTAATGCTTTTTGCTTAATCCCCATGGGAAATCTATTTTGTGTCTTATCAGGAATTTTAATTTTAAGTGACAAGCTTTTTAGAAAGTTGCCATATTTGATCAGGAGATCTGCTAGTCCACTGTTCTGAAGCAGCCAATGAAGCATGAGAGAGAAAATATAACAACAGCTATAGGAGTTTGAAATTTTCATAGTATTTAATTTCTCTTTCTCCCTTCTCTTTATCTATGCCTCTCTACAACTTCAACCTGTTTCTCTTAAATAAAATTCTGCACTAACGAGCTAAATTAAATAAAAAATCATTCTTTGATTACAAACAGCTCCAGAATTACCAGGTGGGAATTTACTAGGTACCAGTGCTTATAACTGGCATTAACAATTTGATGATTCAGTCATCATTCTGAGTTGCTTTATCCATTATTAGTTTATTAGCATTACTTTAGGCAAGCCAACTCAATAAATAACTTTGAGATAAAAATAATATTATAATATTTAAGATAAAAAATGTCTTGTCTTTTGATTCAATTTTATTTTTAAAAATTTACAAAAAATTACAAAGTAAGCAACAAAAGTAATAATTAGTGCTCATATTTTATAAAGACTACAATTAGTGTACATACTAGTATAAATGCTCCAGTATACTTACTGCTAAAAGTTAATGACTTATTTATTTAAAGACATAATAATAAAATTATTTTCTGCATATTACTTATACAAAATCGCTACAGACACCTTTTATACTTCATCATCTTTGGGCAAATCATGAGATGAACACTAACATAAGACAAGACAGCAAAGCTGGCAAAATATACAGACACAAAACATAATATATGTTGCAACAACAGAGTTTAATAGATTTTTTTCTGTGACAGCACTGAATATATAATGTTATAATACATCATATATAAATATAAATATATAATGTATTATATATTTATATATGATGTATTATATATAAATATTAATATATGGGTCAAGGCCTATGGGTTTGCAAATTCACCAGTTTTACCATTATTTATATAATAGCTTCTTTCAATACTTAAAAAACTGTACATATTGTGTATTTGTAAAAATAATCAAATCCTGCTAATTTTGAATTACAGCAGCCTTATACTAAACAAAGCCTCTCTGCATATTCGATTTAAAACAAAAACATGGTTTGGTATTTATGGTAAGTCAGTCACCCAAATACATGCAAAAATAAAATAAAATACATGCAAAAATAAAATAAATAAATAATGTGTTTTTAAAATTTTTGTCATAGGTGGGGGGGGGGGAGGGGGGGCATGTTCAGAATGAATACCAGTGGA